TTCGCCAGGGCAGATGTAGAAAGCGTGAAGCGGTTTCGGCATGCTGCAACGCCTAAGAGATGACGTTTGCGTGTTTTTCCCCAGCCTAGTGATGTCATGGTTGTTTTTCTACTCACCGCGATAATGTGACTTTGCTTTACAGGTCTCACTGGCATGGTGGTTTGGGCAATCGCCTTCCATACTAAAAGGTACCGGGTTCGAATCCCCCTCGTGGAGTTGTTTTTAAAATTCAGGGAAAATAATATTAAATTCGATAAAATTATTTAAAGGTAATAATTAAATAAATAATGACGTACTAAGTAATTAAAATACTTATTAAAAATAGTAAATAATTTAAATTAATGACATACTAAATAATTAAAAATAATTAATCACGTGTCAAATAATTAAAAGGCGTAAATAATTAAAAAAATAAAATAAAACGGATATCATGCCAAACATGTAGTTCAAGATACCGTTGCCATAAACATAAAAAATAGTGTCGTTGCCACAAAAATAAAAACTTTGAAAAGATCGTTGCCACACCATAAAAACGAAAGTTTGATGATATCATTCCATCACGTGATACAAGATGGCGCTTGTGTCGTCACTTCCGGAGAAATTCAAAATGGCGGAGGCCACGCCCCCTGTGACGTCACTTCAGTCACCCGAGTTCCTGAGCTTACTACTCATACAGATTTACTAATTGCATAAAAACCTTAACCAGAAGATAAGAACATAATTCAATCATTTTTAAAGCAAAAAACGTACAATTTACAAACATATAAGAGTAAAGAAACTGAGATCACTGAGTTGGGTAACAGAGTGGATATATATATAAATATATTTATACACGTTTGGTGCGGCCGATTGCAATCAAAATACGAGGTGCACATCTACATGTTATAGCAGTCCTATATACAAAATTTCAACGTTCTGAGGCTACTCGTTTTTGAGTTATGAGAGATACGTACGTAGATACATTCGTACAGACGCCACGAAAAATTCTCTTCAGAATTCATTTTAAAGCAGTTTTATAAATTTTTTGGAGGAAAAGGCTCTTTTATTCTGTCCAAACGTACAGATATCACGCAAAAACATCGTTAAATTGCATTCGATAGCTGTCAAAATGGATATTTTCTTTGAAAATATGCTGCCTGAAACTTTTCACGATTACAATACTTTCTTTTTACTTCGTACAAGGAAGTAAAAAAATCTGATGTGTACAGCACATGACTTGTACAGAATATTAAATTATACGCATTTTTTCTTGCATTTCATTTAAACTTATTGGATTGAATTAAATCTACTTCGCCTACAGCGCATAAACCACAATAGAATAAATGCATTCTTTAAAATTCACTCTAGTTTTTGTTTACCATAGCGACAGTCTGGCGCCAGATTCACTTAACATATTTCGTTCATATTATAACACATAATGTACAAAATTTATATCATTTAAAGAATAGAATTTTCTAATCGTTGCCACATGTTCTATTCAAATACTATAATAAAGCTAGAATAATGTATAAAAGAAACTAAGCAAACAAAACAAAAAAGAACCAGTTTTTCACAGACAATTGAGTATTTCTCCTTCAATTAATTCAGTTCTCATTTCGCGAGAAAGCAAATATATATAAAAACTCAAAATATCTATATTAAAAATTACGAAGTAAATCTTAAACACTTATTTTCTCGAAAAAATTCCAGAAAGGATTAAGCATGATTTAGTTGGTAATAATAAATGAAGGCGTTATCTTTGTTGTTGCGAAGCTAAATTTCTCTAGATTGGCAACAAATCCACTAAAAAATAAGAAGAAATGAGGTACTATTGGTATGTATCTAAATTTAACTGGGTAGAAATCCTCCATGCATTGGTTTGAGTGGGCTTCATACCATGAAAATTTATTGCTGTTTCAAATGTAAACAATCAATGGCCGCCATAAAAAAAAAGGCTTAGCGGCACTTAAAGAACTTTAAAATGGTTGATAATTCTAAAAATATTGCATACAGATTTAGATTTACTAAAGGCATAAAAACCTTAACCGGAAGATAAAAACAACATAATTCAATCATTTTTAAAGCAAAAAATGTACAATTTACAAATGTATAAGAGTAAAGAAACTGAGATCACTGAGCTTGGTAACAGAGTGGATATATATATAAATATATTTATATACGTTTGGTGCGGTCGATTGCAACCAAAATACGAGGTGCACATCTACATGTTATAGCAGTCCTATATACAAAATTTCAACGTTCTGAGGCTACTCGTTTTTGACTTATGCGAGATACGTATGAGCATACGTTCGTACAGACGCCACGAAAAATTCTCTTCAGAATTCATTTTAAAGCAGTTTTATAGTTTTTTTAGAGGAAACGAGTCTTTTATTCTGTCCTTACGTACAGATATCACGCAAAAACATTGTTAAATTACATTCGATAGCGATCAAAATCGATATTTTCGTTGAAATATGCTGCCTGAAACTTTTCGCGATTACAATACTTCCTTTTTACTTCGTACAAGGAAGTAAAAAGGATTAATTTATTCATATTTAGATTTTTACTTTGTAATCCCCTAGAAAATAGCCCGAGAAAAATGAGTGAAAAGTATTTCTAACGCTTCAGAACAGAACTTCTATCAATCGAAGACTTGCAATGCATCTAAAATTAATATTTACCATTTTAGCACGGCTTAATTTTTTAAACTAATTTCTCGAGTCAATTAAAATTGCTTAAAATTGCTTTCTTATTTTTGCTTCTAGTTCCTTTAAAACCTTATTGGAGGAATTTATAAATTTTATTCTCTTTGAAAGAATAGTATTTCGAAATGAGGAAATCGTTCCTGAGATGCTTTCAAGCGTATATTTATTTAAGGAAACGTAAGGTAGGCATTCAGTGATTAGCTAACATAAGAGTCAGTTTTACTAAGTGTTAAAAGAAATGTTGCTTTAATAACACAGTATCTGCTTCACAACAAAATATTGGGGTTCATATTTCTTGTAGTTCAGGCTAGAATTTTGATTTCGCTTGAAAACTTTGAATACCGGAGCTGGGATTTTGCGGGTTCCCACCGAGTTTAAGGAGGTCGCGCATTTTAGAAGGTTTATTATTTTGGTAAAATAGCGACAGAAATCCCGAGTTAAAAAATTTCTAGTTACAATAGATGTTTTAGCATTAATTTATAAGCGGCTTTCAGGTTTCTTGTTTAATGCCTATATATATATTACATTTTCTTATCATTAGCATTTTACAAATTTATTTATGTACCATCAATTTTCAGATAGAAATTTAATCCTTTTTTAAAGTAGAATGCATATAATTTTCTTTAGTATGTTAACAGAAACAATATGGAAATCTCTTTTGTGCAAAATCCCTTCAACAGCAACGTTATTGTAGAAAATGATGCATACAAAAATGAACCATTTCTATTTTGCACGAAAATTAACATCCTGGATTATGGACGGTATAATACATCTTAAAACTTATTTAAATATTAATATGAATGAAAGAAGAATTTTAAAGTATGAATATTAAAAATTTGTTTATTGAATCTAAATTTATATTGAGAAAATCTTAAAATTTTAAATTATTTAATTTGAAAAAAAAACCCTCTGATTCTCGTTTCATATTTAAAAAAGCAGTATTATTATGGCTATTGTAAAATCTCGGATTCACTGACTCAATTAACTATGAAAATCTTTAATACGCAGCTTCGTATTTCTTATATAAAAAATTTAATTTATTTTAATTCAATTTCCGATTTAAAAAAATGTAAAATCTAGATTCGTGACAAGAAAAAAAAAAAAAAAAAAAAAAAAAAAAAAAAAAAAAACTGTTTCAGTTGCGTTTCTCAAGACCTTTTGCCATTACTGGGTATAAATGGTTTCAGCTATGTGTACATTTGATATATGTTAGTGAAAAAAATAAATAACCAGAATATTTTAGAAGTTGTGTGACAAATGAGAAATATCTTAATTCATCCCAATGCAACTTCTTTAATCCTGAAATGAATATGTATATTACAATAGATGTTTTCTCGACCAGTTTTGATAAACCTATCCCAAGGTGGAAATACTGATAAGCTAAAATTGCATCTCCTTTGAGAATCATTGCTTACACTAAAAATACTATTTATAAATACACGATGACCCATAAACTATGACACCTCTTATAAACCCAGCACTATAGGCATTATATAAAATCAGCAAACTGGCATATCCAAATGCGATTTGCACCTAAAAACTTCTTACACAAATGCTTTTTTGGGGGGAGAAAGGGGAGTACAAGGTACGTTTCAGCTTAAAGGTGGACAGTTGGAACTGTATCTTTCGTTAATATTAAGAAAATCTCAAATTTAAATTCTTTAAGAGATAATGTACAAGCTCAAGAACTTGTTACTTTACTTTATCATTATTACTGTAATACACATAAGCAATTCCAATTCCAAATACACGTAATTATTAGCATATTAGTAATCTCAAATGTAAATAAATGCTGCATGACCTTAGTTTTTTTTTTTTTTTTTTTTTTTTGTGTGTGTGTGTGTGTGTATTTGTGTTTGTTTGTGTGTTTTATTAATAATATAATATCAGGAGCTAAAAAATTGAAGAATTCGCTTCTCCGTGTTATGTATTAAGGTCCAAATTATACTCTGATACACCAATTTATTCAAGTTATATAATTTTTTGTAAAATATCTAAATTCATGAGACACCCTAAACATCAGTCTGCAACCGAAGAAAATCATTGAAAGCATTTTATTAGTTAAGTACTCAATATACCGTTTAATTTACCGAAGGAAAAATGGGGGAGTTTACAAGCAAAAGTATCCTGTACCTTGATGTAACAGACCTTTCTTATATGCTTTGCATGTATTGTGTCGAATCTCGTATTATCATTCTGAAAATATCAACATTTTAAATTCGAAATACGGCTTCAACTGAATGCCTATTGTTTTGGCATCATTATAAAATCAAAACGTCGAACTAAGCAGGGTAAGTAGAAAACTGCTTGGGGTTAGTTTAGTCTTTTATAATTTAATAAAAAGATAGTTGGCATTCCACTGCACATGATTTCAAACCTAGTTTGAATTTTATAAATACAGTATACGTTTGTGCGATGAATTAGTATGTAAGCTTTTTCCTCATTATTTTCTGAAGGATATTAAGAATTTATTCTTTAGCTAGTCCTAGAATTCCGAAGATCTTACATTTGCAATAGATTGTGAGAGAATTTTATGTACACACACAGTTTAAATTTTATGTCCTTAAAATATTTTCATATATTTTAGATAAATGCAGTTGAGCTGTAAAATAATTAAGTAACAAATTTCTTATTGACACTTCTTTTCATAGGTTTACTGGTTCACTGTCGAATTCGGATTGTGCAAAGAAAATGACAGGATCACAGCGTACGGTGCAGGGTTATTGTCGTCTTATGGAGAACTTCAGGTAAAATATTCATTTCAGACGCACTTAGAGCTCTTTCTTACAATATTTAATTTTGTAAAATGGGCCTTGAGAATCTGGCGATCTGAGACCAACACCATGAAATACGACTCAAATATCTATATATTTTGCAAAAAAGTAGAAATACGATACCGTTTATTACAACAGAACTATTCCTCTCTTCAGCCTCCTACTTTTTTTTTAACACTACATCTTCCAAATGGTCTTATTTGAAAAGCATTCTTCCAACCTCTCATACAGGCTTTGTATCGCTCCTTAAATGACTATAATGACTTATATAGCTGCAACTATTTCCTGCAATGTTACTTTAATTTCGCCAATATTTCCGCTTTTATGAAAATGCACTAGACTTTCAACACTCCCAGCGAAAGTAGTCCCAGACTAACAAGTTTGGAGAACACGACAATCGTGGAATGTCTCCTACTTTAAATGACTAGCATAGTCACGGATTGTGTGGCAGCATGTTATGTCATCCCATCTTCCTGGAAACTTAACTTCTTGAGATACGCAGCATTACCCAATTATACAAAAATGATCAGATACCGCAAAGAACATTTGGAAAATGTGCTGTTTAAAAAGAAAAATAAGAATTTAAAGAGAGAAATGGCATTGCTATAAGAAGTAGGATTATGAACATCCCTCTTTATTTTAATTAAATAAATAAATATTTCATTTATACTTCTTAATGTTTAGTTTAAATTTTTCAATTTTGCTGCTTTTTCATTTAATATTATAAATCAAACTGATACATACGCTCTTTAATATCAAGCAAGCAAGTATCAAGCTGAACTACACGGGAAAAAGTTAATTTGAATTTTCATATTTCTACTTCCTTATATCATATGTGTGCAGGAAAAAAACAGTTCTTATGCTTAAAAAGAATGATAGGATTTTTTACATAATTTATAGCTTTTATACGCTCAACAGTTCATATTCAAAAACATTTCACACGCCAAGTAACATGGCATTTGTAGTTGCTGCAAATCAATCCTTTCTTCGCAACTTCTTCAGTATTGCCTCATTATAGATAACTCAATCTTAGTCGGCATTCTGCCCAAATACTTAGATACATCCGCAAGACAATCAGCTAAAAATGTGAACGTCGCAGGGATTATATGACAAAACACGTAACACAAGAACGATTTAATATTTTACTGCCCGAATGCTGTTTGCTGTTTTGAACGTATTGAGAAAAACAGAAAATTATTATAAAATCCTTTCCTTGCGGATCACACATATTCACTCTTCTTCGTAAGCTGCCATGTATTTCCCCTGCCCTTACCGCGTACCTGCTTAGTGTAACTGGAAGCATATCCGGCTCACAATCGGGAGGCCCGAAATTCGAATTCTGGCGAAGACATAGCCCATTTTTCACGTCTCTCGCCTCGTCAAGCACAAAGAGTAGACAAAGTAACTTAACTTAAAATGTAAAACATTTAGAGAAATGTTACATTTTTTTTTTTTTTTTTTTTTTTTTTTAATTTTAACTCGCGATATCCGTAGTTAGACAACAATCTTAAAATAGCATTGCGTTGAAAAGAGATGATCACTATTTATTGAATCTCGTATTTAGAATACGAAAAGGAATATACAAGTAAGACAAAAGAATCCGTGAAAGCTAGTAAAACGGATAACCAATTTCGCTTAGAGAACACACGATTTCAATTCTCGATGGCTCACTGAATGCTCCTTAAATTATGGACCACCCTACGCATCTAAGTCTTACAGTGTAATCTAACTAATAAAAATTGACCATTTCTCTTTGATTCTAGCTACATTTTCGAAATACATACGAAATACGCTTTGTCACAATATATATATACAGTCTAACCCTCCTATAATGAGTCTCCGGATATTATGAACGAACCATTTCCCATCCAATTTCCTATATACTTAATGTTATTTTACACTTTTATAGCCCACCTCCAGAAGTACGAAAATCAGATATAACATTTTATATGGATAACTTTGATTGAAATGTTTCGTATTTTGGTTTTCAGAATTTCTATAAGCTTTAAAGGAAAAATTACTAACCTTTAAATCACCCACGTTTAAGAGCTCATATTCTGTCCATTAAAGGAAAACACCTTTATATTCCTTTTTCTATTATATTCAGCCCACGTTTCTCTGCATTCTAAATAAAGACTACGCGAAACGAATACGATATCCAGTCTAGGAAAAAGAAGACACAACATATCTTAGGCCAAAATATGGTGTACAGTGCGTATGGCATATGTGAACTCTTGACCAATGAACGTGAGTGGGTTCTCTGATTTCATTCTAATACACTTTGACTGAGTTCTCAGAATAAGTTCTATTCAAGGTTGATGCTATGATGGAAATTTAAAAATTTTCCCTATTCGAGGAAAAGGAAATAGTGAATCGTATGATTTTTTTTTTTTTTTTTTTTTTTTTTTTTTTGTTACATTATACAGTTGATTCGCTTTTCAGGGAAAGAAAATTTTTTTATCCTTATCCGCTTATGTCATTTGAGTATAAAAGCTATCCTAATTTTGTCCTCCGAATGCGGGTTTTGTATTCTTTTGGTCTTTTGCAAGACAGGATATTCTTCAATCTTCCTTTTACAATCATAGAAATCTTAACTAAAAATTAAAAATAAATTTGTCAATATTTTTTTATTCGTTTTCTCATATAAAAATCGTTATTTTTATATTTGTATGCGTAAAGTAATTACTCATAGTTATAAATAAATAATCCGAGGAATCGTTATTCTTCTACACTTTTTTGGTAGAAATGACAATGTTAATTAGTCCTCCTCCAAATTCTTCATTCAGTTTTTACACTATTTTGTAAAATAATATCTTTTTCTTATCGAATGGGATGCAATTAACTACCTGAAATAACGAATCAACCTTCTGGTGCCATGAAGTTCTTCAGAGAGGGGTTCGACTATATATATATATATATATGCATATATATTACGTAAAAACTGAGTTGCAGTCTGGGGAGCTGCCCAGATGATTAAAATTAATACTTTATTAAAAAATAATTAAAGCAAGAAAATTATTTTTTCAGTATGTCGTAAGTTCTTTCTTAGCATCTATGTAAGCCTCTATTCAGTGCTGCAGAGATTAAATTATATATGTTCTTCTGATGAAGTACGCTTTGTAGCTGACAAATAATTTCAGTTATTCTGGGAAGGATGCAATTGCCTTCCTAGCATTTTCCGACATATTCTGTTGTTGACAAGTCTCGGATGGCGGTGGAAGAATGTAAAATCCTTATAAAGACACTGCAGAGAGTTCTGCGCATTGTGATCAAGTATCCTTTTGATAATAATTAATATCTAAGTAGCTTGACAGCGTTGGCAGTGCAATCAGCTGCAAAATGTCGTTGATATGCTCGCTAGCCGACTAATTTGTCTTGCTGCATAATAAAAAAGATCGGCTGCCGTACTAAACGTCTCCTGAAACTGTCATACCAAGTGTCATGTGCGTATGCCGCTCGACAACATACGTGGTATATTGTCCAACACACGCTGTATCCTTTTCCATGTACGTATACGGCGGTCATCAGCAGAGAGAGATAAACAAGATTCATTGCTGAAAACAACATATTTTTCCATTCTTATAGTGTTCAGGATGAAAGAGTTCAGCTTAACCTGTGATTAGAAGTTACTAGCAGTCCTTTGACAGGCCCTTAGATCAGCTTCTAGCCAATATTCTCTCCGAATAATATTGCTTGATGTGTTATACATGAGGCGTGAGAATCTCTTGAATCACGACATGGAGTAACCTGAGCCTCTTCGTAGGCTACATAAATCTTCTCTGCACCACAATTAATAACATGAGCAACTATCAAATCACTTCGACTAAGGTAGCAGCTGATACGTCTGGTTGTATCAATACATTTATCTTAAGTTTATGATAAATGTTCTTTCTCAGTCTGTCATTAGTTTTTTTAAAAGTCATTAGTTTTTTTTAAGCAGAAGACGTGAAAATGTGTATTGACCTCGCCTAGATTCGAATCCCGGACCTTTCAAATAAGCGTTGAGCGTGCTTCCAGTTACACTACGAAGACCTGCTGAAAGGAGGAAATAAGTACCTTACAAGTAATGCAACTGTTCAAAAAGCGATTGAATATACTATGTCGAAGAGATTTTCGTACATAATCTGCAGCAGTCCCATGACAAAGAACGCAATAATTTAAATGTTGCACTCTTCCGTGTGAATTGAATGAGTTTTATAATATTAGAGACGCTAAAATTGTAATCGTTTCTTGCCAAGTTTGCGGCTGTATTTCAGTTTTATTTCAGTTTCTCTGTCAGCATATTTTTTTCAAACATACGCAGGCCATGCTCGGACTCATTTTTCCTTTCTGTAATTAGCCAGTCCCCCGCTTTTTGCGTTATTTTGTGAGAACAACCAAAGTGAAACGCAACCTTAAGGTCCCTTTACAGTAGCGGAACTTTGAGCCGAAGAAATATGCATGAAAGCTCCGTTTAGCAACTTTTCAATGGATTAGTTTCATGTTTTGAGGAAATATTTCACACTTAATGTTTGAGTAATATTATCACCTCGGCTGTTTATTTGTTCCGAAATATATGCGTAGATACTAAATTTTATCTAAAAAGGAGTCAATGCTTTATTTTCCTCTTTGGAAAGCCATCAAGTTCGTGTGCGTTTCTTGGGCTCAGAATTCTGCTAAAGTGAATCGTTAGTAGTCTATCAGATAAATTTTCTTATTTGCTTTCTGGTGGCATTTATTTCTACTATTTTTTCCACGATGTTGCAGTTCTTTCAGACTTATCTTTTTTGTTCGGATTGCTATAGCTGGATAAATTGGAATTTCTACTTTTTTTGGCATGAAAGTTGCCCCATTGTCATTCTTCCGTGTTTGAATTAAATGCATAGGAAAGCTCAAGACTATCTACGCTCCGAGCATTGCAGTATCTATGCATTTATTGCACAAAACATTTTTCTTTATATTTCGTATTTTATTGCCGGTTCCTTCATTCCTTT